AGCAGAGTCACTGCTGTTAGCAGGGTCTCACACTCACAGGCACATAGGCAGAGATCCAGGGTGATGCACAAGGCTTTTCTACCCTGCAATAAGTCTCTGAAAGGCGGGGAAAAGTGCTGTGAATAGAGGGAGAGAGCAGCCAGAGAGAAGCGGGCTGTGAGACTCACAGAGCGCACCCAGAGAGATCCTTGCAGCGCATGGCTCTTGCACCCAGACTGCACCCAGAGAACAGGCTGCTTCACAGCACTTTACAAGCCAGGAAAAGTGATTGAATCCTGGGTATACATGTTTTAAATAGTCTGATACCTCCAGGGCGCATCACCGCATTTTACAAGCCAGGGAAGGTGCCTGAATCCTGGGTAAACATTGTTTAATTGTTTTTAAATGTGTGAAACAGTGTTTTGTCACTTTCAAAACTCTCCCGTCATTGACCGGAGAAATTGGGTCGATGTTGTATTCAATCTGACCGTTAATATTCCAGTGAGACGTACAATGACCGGAGTGATCCCATGTTAATTTTGTCCCAAAACCGGAGCATTCCCTCACGCTAACACTTGTTACTGGGCAGGTATATTAACGCCCGCCCAAGTATATTTCGCGACCCATTTAGGTTTTTATTTTATCCGTCCGCGAGCACTACGCCACCTGCGATCGATGAACTAGTGGACAATGATCCCTCGCTCTACGCCTCCTGTACCTGTTCGCTCTGCCATGGTGTGAAGGGTCTGCTAATAACAACCAACAGAAAGGGAGACCTTACGAGAAAAAGAGAAGTAAAATGTTGTTGCACATCACTCATGCGCAAATGCGGCGCAATTATGCGCTCTGCAGTAACCCCGCTGCGACGCTCCGGCAAACTAACAGTTCATGAGCGTGCTCCATTAGCACCCGTCGTGCACGGCTACCACCACAAGTATAATTCTGTGGGAAACACTGCTGTCTCCTGCTGTCTTCAGACCTGAAAACAGGATTCTTCCTGTTGTGTTGTACATAATATAAGTTCATTTAAAACATTTTTTTAAATCTCACGTTTCCTTCTCTCTCAGCAGAACGTGGTCTGCTGGAGGTTCTAGATGAACATAGGCTCAGTCTGAGGAGGAGATGTGAACGTGTGACTGAAGGAACTGATCAAAGTGAAACCCTCCTCAACAGGATCTTCACTGAGCTCTACATCACACAAGGCCAGAGTGAAGAGGTTAATACCCAACATGAGGTGAGGCAGCTGGAGACAGCTTCCAAGAAGAAGCCCCTCCATGACACTCCAATCAAGTGCCAGGACATCTTTAAAGCCTCACCTGACCAGCAGACTCTCATCAGAGCGGTCCTGACCAACGGAGTCGCTGGAGTTGGAAAAACCTTCTCAGTGCAGAAGTTCACTCTGGACTGGGCCGAGGGTTTGGGGAACCAAGATGTCAGTCTGGTGATCCCGCTCTCCTTCAGGGAGCTGAACCTGATCAAAGGTGAGCAGTACAGTCTTCTCAGGCTGCTCCATGTTTTCCATCCAACCTTACAGAAGGTCACAGCAGAGCAGCTGGCTGTCTGCAAAGTGCTGCTCATCTTTGACGGCCTGGATGAAAGCAGACTTTCTCTGGACTTCAGAAACAAGAAGGTTGTGTCTGATGTCTCACAGAAGTCCTCAGTCAACGTGCTGCTGACAAACCTCATCAGGGGGAAGCTGCTTCCCTCGGCTCTCGTCTGGATAACTTCCAGACCTGCAGCGGCCAATCAGATCCCTCCTGAGTGTGTGGACAGGGTGACAGAAGTACGAGGCTTCACTGACGCCCAGAAGGAGGAGTACTTCAGGAGGAGATCGAGTGATGAAGACCTGTCCAGCAGAATCATCTCTCAAATCAAGAGCTCCAGGAGCCTCCACATCATGTGTATGATCCCAGTCTTCTGCTGGATCACTGCTGCAGTTCTGGACCACATGTTGACTACAGACCAGAGAGGAGAGCTGCCCCAGACCCTCACTGACATGTACTCACACTTCCTGCTGGTCCAGACCAAGAGGAAGAAGCAGAAGTATGAAGAGGGACATGAGACGAGTCCACAGCAGCTGACGGAGGCTGACAGGGAGGTTCTTCTGAAGCTGGGGAGGCTGGCGTATGAACATCTGGAGAAAAGAAACATCATGTTCTACCAAGAAGACCTGCAGCGCTGTGGTCTTGGTGTCACCGAGGCCTTGGTGCACTCAGGAGTTTGTACAGAGATCTTCAAAAGAGAGAGTGTGATCTTCCAGAAAACCGTCTACTGCTTTGTTCATCTGAGCATTCAGGAGTTTCTGGCTGCAGTCTACTTGTTGCATTGTTACATCAACAGAGACACAGAGGTGCTGAAGGACTTCCTGCAGGGAGACTGGGACGATGACAATGATAGCAGGGATCAGGATTACCCATCCCTGGATGTCTTCCTAAAGAGAGCCATGGAGAAATCCCTCAGAAGTAGAAATGGCCACCTGGACCTGTTTGTCCGCTTTCTCCACGGCCTCTCTCTGGAGTCCAACCAGAGTCTGTTAGGAGGCCTGCTGGGTCGCACAGACAACAGACCAGAAACCATCCAGAGAGCCATCAACAACCTGAAGAAGATGAGAAGTGATGAAGACTCTGATGAAAGGAGCATCAACATCCTCCACTGTCTGACAGAGATGAAGGACCACTCAGTACATCAGGAGATCACAGAGTTCCTGAAGTCAGAGAACAAATCAGAGAAGAGACTCTCTGTGAAACGCTGCTCTGCTCCGGCCTACAGGCTGGAGATGTCAGAGGAGGTTCTGGATGAGTTGGACCTGGAGAAGTCCAAAACATCAGAGGAGGGACGACGGAGACTGACTCCAGCTGTGAGGAACTGCAGGACGGCTGTGTGAGTCCAGATGTGATTAACTTTAGAGATTAGTGCAGATAAGGATTTTAGTTTTTAAAATAAACACTATACAACTTTTTGCTGTTTCACATACTGTGAGAGCAAAATTGAATTAATACAATTATTCTAATACTTAAAAAATGGTACAGTTTTTTCTTCTCTTCATTTTCCTTGTCAACAACATATGAAGGATGTTTTATCACAGCAACATGTGATAGAACATACAGAATAACTTACATATCTCATTGAATGCAGTAAAGTTATTATGAAAGGATTGCAGTTTCTTTATCGTTAAATTAGACACAGAGCAATATCTGATTTATGTTGACTCTGGTCTTCTCTAGTCTAGAAGGTAGCTAGCAAAGAGGTGACAGACATGGGATCAGATCACACTCTACCACATATGAAATAGACAGACATCAGCAGGGTTTCCGTTAGCCGGTAATTACCGGTTTTTAGCTGGTAAAATTTATTAAAAACCGGTAAATTCAAAACCTGCCGGTCAAAATGTCTGGTAATAATTAGGGAGGCTCCGATAGATCGGCCGCCGGTCATTATCGGCCGATATTCACTCTTAATAGTTTGATCGGTGCTCTCTATAAAGGCCGATCAGGAGAGCTGGATCTGATCGATATGGACATAAACGCGAGTGAAGTATAACCGGACACGCGAGAGAGATCAGATCAGCTGCTGAGTCAGACCGAGACACGCAGCTCTGCATAATCACCTGAAGCCCCGCCCTCTGTTTAGCGAGCTGCAGGAGCTGCATGAGAAACTGACGGGCTGTCAGGAGAGAGGGGGAGGGAGAGGGAGGGAGGGAGGAAAAGAGAGGATCCATTTCTCCCGTGTTATTATTCAAAGTTAATGTAAACTTTTGAATAATGTACGTTATCTACTACAAGTAGTTTGTTTGAATGTAATAATTATGTTGTTTGTGGAATAATTTATTGAAAAATGAATCTGAATTTTTCGATCTGTTACGATTATAAACTGAAGCAATATAAAAATGAGCCCCGTTAACTGAGTTTTAAACTGAAGCATATCTGCTCATAGTCCGGTAATTACCTGCTAACGGAAACTCTGCTACACAACTCTTATTATTGAAATATGACCGGTAATTTTCAAATGTGTCCGGTAAAATAAATTCTGCCCGGACATTTGACCGGCAAGAAAAAATCCTAGCGGAAACCCTGATCCAGTGGTAATCAGATCATGATATTCAAAATGTTTTTCCTCAAATGCATGAAGTAAATATGTTGTTTCCCCTTTTTCTATATAAACTAATTCTGTAATATGTGTTCTAACAGAATTCCTGACAGTGGATTCTTAGACTGGGAAGTCGTGGCCTCAGCTCTGAAGTCTGACCCCTCCAATCTGAGAGAGCTGGAGCTGGGAGTAGACCTGCAGGATTCAGAGGTGGAGCAGCTGAGTTCTGGACTAAAGAGTCCAAACTGTAGACTGAAGACTCTGAGGTCAGATCACTGGCTGTAGTTCATGTAGTTTTCTACTGTATTTATAATTGATATATTTATAATTCCATCATTTGCCTGAGTACAAAGATATTTTAATAAGTTCACATTTCTTTCTAAATGGCTGAATATTTGACAAGAATAACCGAAAGCAGAGAAAGTAGATGTGTGAGGGGACAGTGTGTGAGACAGACTCACACTGTGCTCCAAGAGTCAGTGGAGATGCTGTCAGGACTGATGAGCTGTGAGGGAGATGGAGGAGGTTCTTCTGATGCATTATCAACGCATTTATAGTTACCTACTATTACATTTCTAAAAGTATGTGTTCTTTATTCAGACTCTGGTGCTGCTTCTTTGTAAACTCTGTGATCTTGAGTTGAATCAGTTTCTGTGGGTTTGATTAGTCTGGCTGCACATCACGAGTTAGTGGAGAAGGAGCAGAGTTTATGATGTGAAGTCTCCACTTTTTATTGAAGGTGAAGAACGTTGTCTTTCATATTAATGAGAGCTCTTTTCACTTTTTGGATCTTACTGTTTTTAACCTGTGGGGAGTGTCCACTTTATAAACGTCTACATTCTCTACTTCTCCAGCTATAATCAGATTATTAAACCTTTCATTATTTCAATCAGGAACATTGTTTTCTAAACTTACATCATGTGTTCTTTATTCAGACTGGAGTACTGCAGGTTGTCAGAGATCAGCCTTTCTGCTCTGGCCTCAGCTCTGAAGTCCAACATCCATCTGAGAGTTCTGGACCTGAGTTGGAACGATCTGAAGGATTCAGGAGAGCTGCTGAGAGATCTTCTGGAGAGTCCAGACTGCAGACTGGAGACTCTCAGGTCAGTGAGGGGTCGACTCAGTCTCTGCTGGTTCAGCAGGATTGTATTGAACACAGGGAGGTGGATGTGTTCCTCTCACTGGGGAATCTCTCCAGTTCCACCTTCCAGGCGTAGCCTAGCTTAGCACAACACATCAGTGATGTTACCATTTACCTGCAGTTTCTCCTTTTGTTCATCTCATGGTTCTTTTCTTGCGTTCTCCCAAGAACAATAGAATGCAAGCTGACAATGCAAAGCCACATTTCAGTCAGGTGCAACTTGTTAACAGACAAATCCTACTCTGCATAATTCACTCTGATCCTTTAAACACCTGGAATTCATCTTATATTCTCCATCCGGTTTCTTTTATAAATGATGTAATAAACAGATTAATACAGTTAATACACATTTATATCACAATTATTAAACACTAACCAATAATTTAAGGTTTTGCTTTTTCTTTAAAAAACGTCTTAAGCTACATGATGCTCAAACTGACTGAATAGTTTACACTGAAGATGCTGTGATCTATGTCTCCACTATTCTTCAAAGTCCTCCTCATTACTCACAAAGCCCTCAACAACCAGGCCCCCCCCCCCCCCCCCCCACCTCACAGACCTGCTGCACCACCACACCCCTTCCCGCTGCCTCCGCTCATCAGAAGCCAACCTCCTATCCATCCCCACCCGCACCAATCACCGGACCTGGGGGGACAGAGCCTTCTCCGTCGCTGCCCCCTCCCTCTGGAACTCACTCCCCCATCAGAGACTGCACTGACCTCACCACCTTCAAAACACTCACCTCTTCAATCTGGCTTTTAATGTGTGATTGTTTTTGTATTATTTGACTTTAACTTTAACTATATATTTATTTGTTGTTCCTCTATTTTATTTTCTCTTCACTATATCTGTAAAGCGTCTTTGAGCACCTGTAAAAGCGCTAACAAATTAAATCTATTATTATATTATTATTATTATTCCTGAGATCAATATTCTCTATTTATTGTGATCACATTTCTTCTAAATTCATCCTGACTTCTTTGTAGACTCTGTGATCTTGAGTTGAAATGTTGTGGAGATGTAGCGCTCACAACAGGAAAGAATGAAACAGAGAGGAATCAATGAAACACAAACACAGAAATAGTGGAGATGACTCATTATTATTTCGTTGCGCTCCACCAAACAACAATGGGGAAACATGAGCTGCTCTCAGCACTCAGACAGCAATGCTCCCACGAGTACCAGACACACAGGGCAGATATAGGTTTCTAAAGGACACACGGACATGTTCCTAAACATGTTTAACGCACACACATTGTCAGGTCTCCTAAACTTGGACATGTTCCAGATGTGGAAAGGTCATCATCTCATGACTTCTTTAGGAGTCTTGCAGGATATGAATGATCCAATTAACAAACTGTATACGTCTGCACATGAACGCACATATATTTCTTACATTAACTAACACTTAACTGTATTATATCTAAATGTAGCCTCTTTGCATTTCCTCTGAGCTTGGCGTCAGCTCACTTAACGTAATAATTAGCAAAGAGACGATTCTCTGGAAACTCTAACTTAATAACAAACCTAGTTACTATAACTAGGTCCAAGACTGATGTAACAGAATCAGTTTCTGTGGGTTTGATTAGTCTGGCTGCACATCACGAGTTAGTGGAGAAGGAGCAGAGTTTATGATGTGAAGTCTCCACTTTTTATTGAAGGTGAAGAACGTTGTCTTTCATATTAATGAGAGCTCTTTTCACTTTTTGGATCTTACTGTTTTTAACCTGTGGGGAGTGTCCACTTTATAAACGTCTACATTCTCTACTTCTCCAGCTATAATCAGATTATTAAACCTTTCATTATTTCAATCAGGAACATTGTTTTCTAAACTTACATCATGTGTTCTTTATTCAGTCTGAGGTGGTGCAGTTTGTCAGAGATCAGCTGTTCTGCTCTGATCTCAGCTCTGAAGTCCAACATCCATCTGAGAGATCTGGACCTGAGTGAGAACGCTCTGCAGGGTTCAGGAGTGGAGCTGCTGAGAGATCTTCTGGAGAGTCCAGACTGCAGACTGGAGACTCTCAGGTCAGTTCTCCATCTCTAACTTCTGTGCTGAGATGAATATGTGAGAGTTGTGTTGACTCTGAGCTGCAGACATCAGGCTGATATGATCCTGATCCTCACTGAGCATCTCAATGTTAAAGTCTACTTTCTTCTTCTGTGGTTTAGCTCATTGACTGTAGCAGAGCTTTGTTAAAGACAAATCATACTCTGCATAATTCACTCTGAACCTTTAAACTCCTGAAATTCATCTTTTATTCTCCATCATGTTTTTAAATAAATGACATTATAAACACATGAATACAATAATTAAATATTTCTATTAAAACTATCAAACACTAACAAATATGTTCAGTTGTTGCTGTTTCTAACATGTTTCTGAAGCTGCATGATGCTCAGACTGACTGAATAGTTTACACTGAAGATGCTGTGATCTATGTCTCCACTGTTCCTGAGATCAATATTCTCTATTTATTGTGATCACATTTCTTCTAAATTCATCCTGACTTCTTTGTAAACTCTGTGATCTTGAGTTGAATCAGTTTCTGTGGGTTTGATTAGTCTGGCTGCACATCACGAGTTAGTGGAGAAGGAGCAGAGTTTATGATGTGAAGTCTCCACTTTTTATTGAAGGTGAAGAACGTTGTCTTTAATATTAATGAGAGCTCTTTTCACTTTTTGGATCTTACTGTTTTTAACCTGTGGGGAGTGTCCACTTTATAAACGTCTACATTCTCTACTTCTCCAGCTATAATCAGATTATTAAACCTTTCATTATTTCAATCAGGAACATTGTTTTCTAAACTTACATCATGTGTTCTTTATTCAGACTGGAGTACTGCAGTTTGTCAGAGATCAGCTGTTCTGCTCTGATCTCAGCTCTGAAGTCCAACATCCATCTGAGAGATCTGGACCTGAGTGAGAACGCTCTGCAGGATTCAGGAGAGCTGCTGAGAGATCTTCTGGAGAGTCCAGACTGCAGACTGGAGACTCTCAGGTCAGTGAGGGGTCGACTCAGTCTCTGCTGGTTCAGCAGGATTGTATTGAACACAGGGAGGTGGATGTGTTCCTCTCACTGGGGAATCTCTCCAGTTCCACCTTCCAGGCGTAGCCTAGCTTAGCACAACACATCAGTGATGTTACCATTTACCTGCAGTTTCTCCTTTTGATCATCTCATGGTTCTTTTCTTGCGTTCTCCCAAGAACAATAGAATGCAAGCTGACAATGCAAAGCCACATTTCAGTCAGGTGCAACTTGTTAACAGACACATTTTACAGTTAAAAAGTTAGTCTGTTAGTTTTTCCTATGAAGTTGTTTTGTTCCTGGACTAACGCCTAGTTAACTCTGTGATGCAGCTGAGAGCTGTGGCAGGCAGTCGTAGTGTTTGCAGAGAGGATATGATGGGATGGAAAGCATGAGATCAGGACTCTGAAGCTGACTCAAAGAACAAACACTTATTCGAACTGGATCTAAAACTGTTGGATTGTGTTCATCCCTACAGGATCGGAGAAGGAGAGACGATCAGAGCCAAGATCCAGAAGAAATGTGAGTATTGAACTCATATCCTCCAAATATATCCAAACTATCGTCCATGCAATCAAATCATAGGTAATATATGTATCACTTGATGAAATCTGTGCCTCCCGTTTATGTCTAACATCGAGAAAGGCGCTGAAGCTTCAAATACAATGCAATATAAAAACACAAAAACAGTTCTTATTATCCATGGTGTCACCCTGGTAAAAACCTCATGCCTACTAGTGCTCTACTCCCACCTCCACCTGTCTCCCATATATATACAATCACACCAGGTGCTCTGATCACCCAGTGCCCAAACATGCCTTCAAAATGAAAGCATAAAAACTACTTTAACTCACTTCCATAACGACACTAAGTAATAATACCTTCACTATACACAAAAACAGCAAGAAAATAAATGTTTAACTATTAAATAATATAAAGCTCAAAGAGTGTCTTTAAACAGGCGGTTCTAACGAGTGGCTAAATTCATAATAACGTCGTCACGCTGATCACGGAGAAACTCATCTCCTCATTGGCTGTGATGTTAAATCATGTGACTGTGATGTAGTTCTTTTATAGCCTGATGCTAGCTAGAACAGGTATTGGATGTACGCTACTCAAAAAGAATGTATAAATACCATAGGGTAATCGCTTTTTGACATTTGAATAAGGAAATGTTGCAAATGATATATTTTAAATAAATAAACCCACCGCTGGGAAAGCTGAGGAATATAAATATCTCTGTTACATCACATTGAACTTTTGTCTAACTTATTAGTCGTGTTTTAAGAGATCTCTGTTTAAAGTGATTGTTGGTTATATAACTAGAGTATTTTCCCTGTTTATCTTCCAGGTCCATGAGGGGATATTGTTAACCATCAGGCAGTGCATTCAGCCCCGTAATCCTGCCTTTGTTCGTTTCCTGCCATTTCTGTCCCTCAAGTCTTTGGAAACAGTCAGAAGAACGGCTACGGAGAAGAGGAAGAACAGTTTTAAACTAGAGAATGCAATTCCTGAAGAAATTGCTAGTGGGAATGCTTTATGCTGAAATATAATGTGTAAGAAGAAAGTGAATAATCAGGAATATTTGGATGACTTCCATATGAATGAATATTATGTTAAAAAGTAGCATGAAACTCCAAATGTATAAATAATGTTAAAGATTTAAGGCTTTGAATGTAGAATGTTATTCGTAGGAAAAGTTGAAAATGCAAAAAGCACATTTTATTTTCAAAAACCAGAACATGGGGAAAAAAAACTATATAAAACGTTTCAAATCAATTACTAACAAATATATTCTGTAAAACCACAAAGTGAAAAGGTGAACAAAAATAAAGTAATTTGTGTGAAAGAACAAGTGATAAAACAACTATATACAGAAAAATCACTCAAGTGAATAAGTTAAAAACAAACAATATAAACATTTCACATCAATTACTAAAGAAAATAACAATCTGAAGAACAAAAAATCTAAAATACAGAAACTATTCATATCAATTAAATAAATCAAACAAGAAGTGAAGAGAAAAAAACAGCAACTTTTCATATGAATGAAATGATAGCAGTCAAACCAGAACAAGACAAAAGCAAGCATCAAACAAACAGTTTTACGATGCATTTCATGCACGTCACATATGTATCTTTTTATTGAACAATTAAAATCTCCCCCTAAATGTCATGAAATAATAGAATGCTGTCTCTGGTATTTTATGAAATCATTAATACGTTGGTTTTTATTGTGTTTTTTTCTGAATGTCTGTCAAAAACGTTTGGAACGGCCACTAAACCTTATGAAAGGCTCCCACCAATCAAGGTGAAGGTTCTGGAGGTGAAAGTGTGCCAGGCATAGGCGGAGTTTGACATTTGCGCTTGGGGGGGCAAACCTTTTGTACTGACGTCAGTAGTACTGACGTTTTCTCCCGGAGGCCAAGGGAAGCCAGGCTTCCCCTGTTTTTTCGGAATGTAGTTATAATTTAAATAAATAAATAAAAACACTTTGTTTTGTTTCTGTAATTCTACTTTCTACTACTACTTTCCTGCCGGACCGTCTCTCCGTCTCTCCCCCATTCTCATTGAGTATTTTACAAAGAGTGAAACAGCGCCCCTCTAGATGTCATGGTGAAACAGTAGATTGCATTCACTGTTGCGAGAGGAGGCCAGCAGAATCTAGCTTCCCTTGGTGAAAAAAAATTGAGGGATTAACCAATCAGATGAGGCCCACGTGATGCCCCTGCCAACCTGTGATTGGTCAGGGCCATGCCAGGGGAAGCCAGCCGCCTCTAGCTTCCCTTCAGGGGCGGCTGGCGGCTGGCGATTTGATTGGACACTGCCATCCAATCACATCAACATCAATTTTAATACTGTAACTGTCATCACCGCCGTTAGAAATTATCAAGCAAATGAAGCATTATGGAGGGAGGAGATTTGGCGTACTTAATTAAGCATAACGTCACTAAACTTCAGCTACAGCAGCAACTAAAAATTAAAGCAGATGGCAGGACAACGCCCACACTCGAGCTGTGTACACAGAGGAATAAGGGATCTAATCGGACGTTCAATGAGGACAATTATGTCCGCACGGAGTGGCTAACTGGAAGCGCTAAACTTCAGCGTCTATTTTGCTGGCCATGTCTTCTTTTTGACAAGGGTTCGTGCTCCCTGAACAATCCTTGGGCAACTTCAGGATTCATCGACCTTGCCAACCTGTCACGGGCAATTGAGAGGCACGGTAAATCTAAAAATCATATAGATTGTGCTGTGAAATTAAAGCTTTTTGGACGCGTCAGGATTGACGAGGCTCTGGATGTAGCAAGAACCATTAGCACAAAGAAGCACAACGAACAAGTAAAAAAGAACCGGGATATTCTGAGGAAACTCATCATTGCTGCCCTGTACCTTGCACGTCAAGAGCAAGCATTCAGGGGACACAATGAGGCCGCTGGCAGCTCTAACAGGGGCAATTTTGTAGAGCTGGTACGTGCATTTGCAGAGTTTGACACTGCACTCGCGGAGCACTTGGGATCGTCAACAGTCTTCAGCGGTATGTCAAACACCATACAAAATGACATAATTGAGAGCATAGCTCGTTGTATCCAGGATGAGACTGATAAAGAAATACACATTTCTCCTTTCATTGCTGTACAAGTGGATGACACATCAGACATCTCCAATAAGTGCCAACTCACTATCATAATCAGATATGTGAATGAAAAAGGCAGTGTGTGTGAACGTTTCCTCGGCTTTTTTGATGTCAGCTTAGAAAGAGATGCAAAAGCTGTAACATCAGTTGTCATGAGAGCCATCGGGAACTACAGCCCAACAAACAAACTGATTTGTCAGACTTATGACGGAGCAAGCTGCATGAGTGGACAGCACGGTGGCGTTCAGGCTTTAGTGAAAGCACACTGCCCCAATGCGCTATTCATCCACTGCTATGCTCACAAATTAAATTTGGTTTTAGCACAAGGCACAAACAACATCCAAGCAGCCAAACTGTTTTTTGCCAATCTCGATGCCTTCCACAATTTTTTCTCACGTTCATGTAAGAGATCAGCACTACTGTCTGAAGTTGATCGAGCTGTGCGTGTACCAGGGGGTTCTGCTGTGAGGTGGAATTTTAAAAGCCGCGCAGTACACGCCATCCATGAAGGACGCGGGTCGCTCTGTATCGATTTTGACAGGATAATGACAGAGCCGGGATGGGACAAAGAGACTATTGCACAGAGTGCTTCCTTGAAGCAAAAACTTGAGGATTTTGACTTCACCTTCCTGCTCGGGGTCTTTCAGTCCATTTTCGGCCTCACAGAACCACTCTTCCAGGTTCTGCAAAGCAAGACGGCGGACATAAAAAAATGCCAGGATCGGATCATGAGCACTCTCAGCGCTCTCAAAGCCACAAGAACAGATGAGACATTCAGTCGCATTTACGATGACACGGTCAAAGCAGTCGGTGATCCTGTGCCCCGACGTAAACGACGTCGCCGCGGCTGGGACGACCTGGAGCAAGAACCAGCACCAAGAAGGAGACGAGGAAACGGTTGTGTCTTTCCGGCGTCTTTACTTCCAGATTGTTGACGGCATAGTGTTGCACATGACCCAAAGATTTGCAGATATGGAGCACCTGCACTTTTTTCGGATACTGGAACACACATCATTCACATCGTTCTGCAACCCTGATGCATTTCCCAGCAGTGAGCTGGCTCAGCTGATCAACACGTATCCATTCTTTGATGAGCAGAAGTTAAGGAATGAGCTGCACACGCTGTACAACAACAGGTTGTTTCACAAGCCACCAGGAGAGCTGATACAGCTTCTTATTGAGGATGACCTACAGGGCACACTCTCCGAGGTCTACAAGCTGCTCCAGCTCATGCTCACGATACCAGCCACCAGCACATCAGCAGAGCGCTCCTTTTCCTGTCTAAAAAGGATCAAAACGTATCTGAGGAACACGTGTGGACAGGACAGACTTGTCAACCTAGCCACAATATCCATTGACTCTGTTGTTGTGGAGGACCTAAAGGCTGCTGGGAAGTTCTATGACATTGTTATTGACCACTTCGCTACCATGAAAGACAGGAGAATGGCCTTCCTCTTCAAATAGGGTGAGTGAAATGCACACCCCTTTCTCTCTGTGCATACCTGTCAGAGATGTTCACAAGTCTTTTTTTGCAAGTCCAAGTCAAGTCTCAAGTCTTTGGTCACGAGTCCAAGTCAAGTCTCACGTCTCTTCTGGTTGTAATAAGCCTTCTATTGTCTGCTGCTATCCAGTATGTTAAGAATACTGCACAGCTATATCTAAGAAATTCAAAGCATTTACTGTATTATTATCACTCCTATATCTATTAGCATACAGTATCAGTACTGATTAGTTGTTTGTTATATGATCACTTTAAACAGGCTATTGCAATGCAATATGAGGACAAACATCACACTTTAGCTAAATGCAAACAACTTATAAGCAAAACACTTCAGAATCAGAAATCAGTATCACAAATACTTTATTAATCCCCCGCAGGGAAACTGTGTTAAAAGTACTTCAAAGTAAACATTTGTTCTGTGCCATTTGCAACTAAAAAACTATTGCTGCAATATTATCTGAAATATACTGAACTGGTGATATTAAAACATGACCTGTTCCAAAAGAGATATTTACCATTAACACCATTTACCAGCCAAACGCTGGTAAATCATGCAAGTGGCTGGTACTGTATGTTGCACGCACCAGCCAAACATAACAATGGCAATCTATTGAGTGGCTGGTAACATTTCAACATTCACTAGGCTAGCCATTTGGCCAGTGGACAAAAATGTTAAAATGTGACCTCTGCAACCGTATTGTTTAATTACACTGGGTCTCTAATGACATCTTTTAAGTCTACTATAAATAAACATATTCCTCTATCCTCTCACTCAAACCCAGTGTAATGGTAACCTGATAAACCTGTAACATTAACGTTACGTGGTCAACAATAAACCTGTAACCTGCCTATAAACCGACAGATCTGTATTTATGTATGTAACTATGTATTTTTCTACGTTTAACGTTAGCCAGTAGATGGTGGCAGCGGAACGTAATGATTAACGTTACCGACCTTTTTTATGTCATGTCAAGAGTTGGATGTCAACGCCACTCAACGCAAACAAGTGTGACAAGCAAACATTCACTCATCTTTTCAAATATTCAGTTACAAAGCTAGTAGCAAGCTAAGTTAACATTACATAGCTGATGCTGAGCTAAACATGTTTGCTAACCGTCCAGATGCGTTAATGTGACTGACCTCTCCGGGTGAGTTTTCAAGTGCCTGATGAAATTTGATGTTGTTGCACCAGCATCCTTGATTTTAATATTGCAGACTTTGCAGTGTGCGCTCATTTTGTTGGTGCCGCCGGCGTTTTGTTCGAAGTTTTTATAGTTGAACCTAATTACAAGCGGTACAGCTGCAGGTGTGCCGCCGGTCGCCATGGTGTTACCATGATGTTAATGTTAATGTTAAAGGTGGGGTAGGTAAGTTTGAGAAACCGGCTCGAGATACACTTTTTGTTATATTCCCTGGAATGCTCTTAACATCCCGATAGCCGGCCCGGCTAAAGTAACTGGATGGCCTACCTGCCTGTCAGCCTCCCATCGGGGCACAAACTTATCTCGTGCCCTCATTGGTCATGTGCGCGTTCGTGTGTGTTGGAGGAGGGGCTCTGTGAGGAAGTGGCAGATTTTCTCCGGTTGTGTATTTTCAAATTCTAGCGATCTCGAGCCGGTTTCTCAAACGTACCTACCCCACCTTTAATAAGCCAAAAATAGAAAACACAATGATTGTTCACGAGTCCCAAAACACGAGTCCAAGTCGAGTCCGAAGTCTTTTGAGCAGGAGTCCAAATCAAGTCTGAAGTCTCTGTGTGTGCGACTTAAGTGCGACTCGAGTCCGAGTCACAGACTCGAGTCCCCATCTCTGATACCTGTTGCCTGAACTGCCCGTGTAGCTATGTGTGCAATTTCTGATGTGGTTCTGTTGGTTATTGTGCATTGCTTGCCTGGATTTAGCTGCAGGTGTTCAGTCTGAAGTAGTTGTTTTATTGCAGTTGTTTAATTAGCACAGGGTGCTGCTATCCGAAAATCAGCACCGCAGATAGCATGCCATATAGGGCCCGATCACCTGAATAGATGAGATTGTTTATATTTTTGTGTTAC